GGGAAAGAGCAAAATAATTCTCAACTGTGAAGAGGATATATTTATTTATTTATTTATTTATTATTTTTGTGTAGGTTTGCTTATCTTCTTGTTTTATCTTTTAAATTGTAGGAAGCTTATGTGCAGAAAATGGTTAAGGTGTGCAATGACTCTGACCGATGGAGTCTTATATCCCTGTCAAACAACAGCGGCAAAAATGTGGAACTGAAATTTGTGGATTCCCTCCGGAGGCAGTTTGAATTCAGTGTAGATTCTTTTCAAATCAAATTAGACTCTCTTCTCCTCTTCTATGATTGTTCAGAGAATCCAATGACTGAAACATTTCACCCCACCATCATTGGCGAGAGTGTCTATGGCGATTTCCATGAAGCCTTTGATCACCTTTGCAACAAGATTATTGCCACCAGGAACCCAGAAGAAATCAGAGGGGGAGGACTGCTTAAATACTGCAACCTCTTAGTGAGGGGCTTTAGGCCTGCCTCAGATGAGATCAAGACCCTTCAGAGGTATATGTGTTCCAGGTTTTTCATCGACTTTTCAGACATTGGAGAACAGCAGAGAAAACTGGAGTCCTATTTGCAGAACCACTTCGTGGGATTGGAAGACCGCAAGTATGACTATCTCATGACCCTTCACGGAGTGGTGAATGAGAGTACAGTGTGCCTGATGGGACATGAAAGAAGACAGACTTTAAACCTTATCACCATGCTTGCTATCCGGGTGCTAGCTGACCAAAATGTCATTCCTAATGTGGCTAATGTCACTTGCTATTACCAACCAGCCCCGTATGTAGCAGATGCCAACTTCAGCAATTACTACATCGCACAGGTTCAGCCAGTGTTCACGTGCCAGCAGCAGACATACTCTACTTGGCTACCCTGCAATTAAAAAATCATTTTAAAATGTCCTGTGGGGAAGCCATTTCAGACAACATAGGAAAAAAAAAAAAAGAGAGGAGGAAAAAAATAAAAGAGTGACTCAGCCCTGATTAGGGATGTTTTGTACAAAGATGATATGCTCCTGGTTTTAAGTGTGGCAAAGCTTATGGATCTTTTAATAGGTATGGGAGCATGATCTCCAACCAATCCCTTGCCTGGCCCCTTCTATATCCTCTTACTCAGTTGGATTCTTATTCTGAAACAAAAGAGACCTGTCACTAAAAGCAACCAGGTTCTCCTAAGATAACAAGGGAAAAATATGCTTGATGACAATATGGGTTTGCAGTATCTGCGCCCATAGCTTTGCCATAGGAGAAAAAAAAAAAGTGGAAATTTCTTTTAAGATGGATTCATAAAAGGGAAACTATAGAGGAAAAAAGGTCTCACCAAACTTGTTTATCAGCTTAAGAGTTAAGACAGTAACAATACAGAAAGAAGGGGAACTCCAGCCCTGGGATTATTGTGTGAAGCTTGTAGCAAGTGCTTTCTGTGGAATGATCCTCTTGCGCTAACAGAAACGGCTTGCTCCAAATGAACAGTAGTAGGTTGGTTCAGTTCTCATAACAAACAGCAGAATTTAAGATGACACAATCCATTAATTCCAGCTGCGTGCATAGCTCACATTTTTAAAACGTGAAAATGCAAGCAAAAACAGCTGTAGCAAAGAAAGTATGCTCAAGGACCAAAGATTTAACAGATAAAATTACCCAAGTAGAAGAGATATAGTAGAATATATAAAGAGTTAACTATATTTGTTACATACCAATATACATCAAAGTGCCTGTTGCCTTCTGAAAATTTGAAGTGGAAAAATTATTTTATGGTTTATTGATTATTTTATCAGGGACTCAAGAAGAAAATAAACACATAAGCTTGTGAATGGTGGAGGAAATGCCCTATTTTTTCTTGGCAAAAACTTGTATAAAGTTAACATTGTTGGTGTGATATAGGTATGTGTGTGTATATTATGTGTATGTATACACATGTGATATGTATATATACACACAATACATTGACTATGATCTAGAATAATGTATCAAATAGGAAATGTTTAAATACTGTGCTTTTATGTTTTAATAGGATGACATGAAACATGACATGGGCATATTGCAATGATGAATTAAAACCTACATCTAAAAATTTTAAAACAAATGAAGGAGGGAAACTAATATATTTGATAGAAAGAGAAAGATTATACATTTTTAGTGAGGTTTTTTTTTTTTTTTTTCCTTTTTTCTTGGTGAGCCATAGAATTCCACAAATGGGAGAATATTCGTTTGGCAGAGCACTCTTTTTTATATTGAACTGCCATTTTGACAGTCTGAACTTTTTTTGTTTGTTTGTTTTTTAAGTAATCACATGACTCCATGGTGTTTAATCTAGTGGATCATGGATCAGTGATAGGCTATTTAAATCCCTGACTGCTAAAAAGAATTTCTGGTGATCGGAACACTACTTATTAGTATTTAAATAAATTTTTTAATGAATGCATTCTGCATTTCTGGACCACTAGAATTTAGTAAATGTGAAATGACCCTTTTTAAAGAGTATTTGCACAATTGCTTAAAATTTATATATGAGATATATATTATATATAACATTTTATAAATTCATGTCAGTATGAAACATCTTCAATCTGGTTGCCACACTGCATTTAAATATTTAGTACTGTACTTTAAATTAAATCACTTCGCATTAAACGAAATCCAGTTCATTTTCTTTTACAAGAGACCAGTTATACTTTTGTGAAATGAACTGGCATTACTCTTTCAGTTCAGTGACAGCTAATCCTAAAACCACCCCTTCTTCCAGCCTTTAATTCCTCTATACACTGGTCTCTGAAAATGCATTTGTTTAAAACAAAACTAAAATATAACAATCTTCCCTTTGTTTTGTGAAACCTCCATATAATGCCCACCAGTCCTAGTGGATGACCGCTTACTATGATGATTCCTCTGAAGACCTAAACAGAAGATTTTGTCATCAGTTAGAGGGACCAGGGCAGAAAATAGTATTGGCAGTGTGATTTGTTTGTTTATCTGAGTATCCCTCAAATGCTTAGTGCTATGTTAATTCAGGTTATTCCATTTGGACTACCTTTTGTGCATCTGTCTTTGAAGCCTTAACAGGAACCTGATGGGTTTGCTGTTGCAGCTTTCCTGTGAATTCTGTCAGAGCTGCAACAGAACCTCACTGCCACTCACTGTCTTCTCGGGAACTTTTCCTGCTCCCACGTTGGCTCAGACTCCCTCACTCCAGCCCTGGGTTTGAAAATTTAATTGCAGAGTTCCAGGAAACATTATTCAATTTGTAGTTAAGTCTGGCACTCACCTGTCAGAAGACAGATCTCCACCTGCTTGGCTGTTTGGAAGTTTTCCAAAAGAAAACTAAGGGGATGCTTGGGAACAAAAACAACTGGTGATCTGCTTTCGTCTCATCCTAACTCTTGACAAATGAGTCATCTTTGATGTTAAGAGTCTGGAGGTCCCTGGCTCTGCCATAGCAACAACCTACTGTTAGCTTACTACATAGATTTTTGTTTGGAGGAGCCTTATTTGAAAATACACTTGTCATTTATTTTCTCAAGTATTTATACTCTTACTTTATTTTTTCTCTCTGCTTACTTCAGGGTTGGTAGCTTAGTTGGAAGTGCCAGCACCTGGCATTCATATAGAACAGGCTGTACTCGAGACATCTTTTAGCATTTATTTTAGGACCTATATAATTTATTTTCTATTTTGTATGTACTATAGTCTTGTGCATATGTAGTTGAACTCACAGTGGAATATATGTCTCTCTTTGTGGATGTGTGGCCTAAAAGTTGGAGTGTCTGTTGAGAGAGAGCCATGTGTAAAGGTGAGAGAAAAGAACAGCTCTCAACTCTTGATTAGTGCCTGTGATTTGTTTGCTTTTGTGTTTATCTGGTCTAGAGTGCTGTTACATTAAAACAGGTGGAAGTTCTATCTTCCAGAGGCTATTCTCACCTGTCCAGTCTGGCATGTCAGAGAACACTTAGCCTGTGACTATGGCCTTTTAAAAGTTTACTTTGTTTGCAGTAAATCCAGCTGCCTCAAGAACTCCTACAGTTAAGCAGGACATTTCCCTTCCACAAATGGAACCAAGTATCTGCTCACTTTGCAATAGTGTGGATTCTTTCAACATGGCTCCAAAACATGCAAAGGTGGAAGAGTATTTGTAATTCAAGCCAAGAAGGAAACGAAATGAAACGTTTTTTTTTTTAACCAAACCTCTTTCTGTTTGCTTATGTTGATTGCTTTACTGTGCATAAAGTTGTTTTCAGTGCAATGCTTGTTAAATAAATATTGTGAACTATTTTGTAAATGAAATGTATTATGTTGAAAGCTGTCAGCAGTTCAAAAATAAGCTTTTTTGTCGTTGAAGATGAAGTGTGTTAGATGAAACCCCAAAGCCAAAAAAAATTCTTTTTCATATATAGCGCCTATTTGAATATAATCTTTCTTTAAGATGTCTTTTAGCGTAGCCTTTTCAGTGCTAAGAAAGAATCTATGTAATGTTTTGTTATAATAATGGCTTGCTAAAAAGTAAATGGTAAAGTTCAAAGTCACAGGGTGTAGGTAACTTGGCGAGATTTGCTGCGAAGCCTTACAGAACAGAGGAGGCTCTGCCCGCTGGCTGTCTCTCTCTCCAACTCTCTACAACCATTGTCTGCTCTGAGGCGTCCTGTTGCAGCAAGCTGCTCCTGGACTCACTCTTTTGGAATATTTTTGACTATAGACTGTGTCACAGGCAGAAAAGGAGTTGATGGAACATGAACTCTTAAAAACTGACATGTCTGAATCAGTGCTAGAGGGAACAGATTGTGAATTTTGTTTACAGCATCCAATATTTGGATTTTTTTTTTTTGTAAATAAAAAGAAGTTATTTTTTTCTATTGATTTGTGTCTGTTGTCTTCGGTGTCTGTGCTAGCTAAAGACCAACCTATGTCCATTAGAAAAGATGAGGCAGTATGTGCAGAAGAATAGCCTTCAGCAACTTTCTGATTAAAATGCCATAAATGAAGACTTTGTTTCGACCAGCCCATCTCTTACTGGCTCAGTAAATACCAAAAGACTCTAGCTAAGAGGTGTCAAAATTTTTTTTATTTGGTATTAGTAGTGTCAAGTGACCCAGAAGTCAGAGCTGTTACCCGGTATCAGTGGATAATCTTAGCTTCTAACTGTAGGGCTAGTAACCCTAAGTGGACTTTGGGTTCCCATAGTAGCCCAAAAATGGACTTCATTAGTGATTATATGTATTATATGTTTGAGGCTTTATTGTGTTATCCAGAGTGTTTAAAGTAGAGTAAGGGTTCATCCAGGAACCAGAAGGGGAAGTGGAGAGAAGGAAGAGAAATCAATCCAATATGTGGTAGTGTATGTGTGGCTGTTTGCAAGAAAATTGCCCTTTGGGCTAGCATTTAGTTTGATCCTACCTACTCAAATTTCCAGGGGACATGAATTTACTTATTACGTTTTTTTCTTGTGTAATTTTGGAGATTTTGGGAATTTGATAACTTTGGCTATTATGGGACATACTTGTGGCTGTAAAAACCATTTGAAGTCCTGATGTTGGATAGAATGCATATTTTTCTCAATAGGTATTTTATTTCTACCAATATAGTGAACTGAACAGGTTTTTACATTGAGGAACTGCTTGCTACTCTATGAAAGAGCCACTCCTGGCATCAAAAGCCAGTTTCCTCACATAAGCATCATAAAAATCAAGGTGGTTATTTGGTTTGATAATAGTGTTTGTGTGTCATTCTCTTCTTTGTCACAACCTCTTTGTTCCTCTACAGCCAGCCTCTCTAATATCTGTGGTCTTCACATAATTCTTTTAAGCAAGGGTTGAATAAGGACAGCATATATTAAGCTCCTCCTACTCTTGTGTATACCCTGTCATTTCTAGTTGAATTACTAGGCTGCACCCAGCTAAGCCTAGAGTGAGGAAATACATACTTCCTTTCCTTTAGAACCTCATTCCCTAAATAGTTTCTTTAATAAGAGAGGGAAAAGAAAAAAATATTAATACCTCAATAGCAAAAACAAAAACAAGTGAAAAGCATAACCTTTAAATTTAAAGTAGAATAAGAACTGTTAAGAGCATCAAATGTTTCTGAAACAACTAAATTTTTCTCCTCAGAACCAAGTTTGAAATCAATAGCATACATATCTTTCAGTCTAAAAGCAAATATATTCAGATAGGAGAGGGGGAGCAGGA